GGCTTCCGGGATTTCTTATTAAAGCCTGAGCTGTTAAGAGCAATAGTAGACTGCGGTTTCGAGCATCCTTCCGAAGGTAAAAATCTTGCGGTTATCTTGTGGGCATAGTTTATTTACACGCGGCTCCATCAGCGTGTCTATATATACAGATACACACATGGCGAGATAATAAATATACAATGTATTTGTATTAGGCTACACTTCCCCCTTCTTTCCAATATTGTATTTTATCCTTGTCCACATCCCCCTTTATCCTAGTATCAATCCTAATCTCATGACTTTCATTGCTTATTTCTAATCACAATTCTTGTTTTCCTCTTCACAGTCCAACAAGAATGTATCCCTCAGTCGCTGCTGGGAACAGATGTTCTATGTCAAGCAAAATCAGGCATGGGGAAGACGGCTGTCTTTGTACTTGCAACGTTACAACAAGTCGAACCTGCTCCCGGTGAAGTATCGGTAATCGTATTGTGCCATACTCGGGAACTGGCATTCCAGATTCGAAACGAGTATACTCGATTCGCTAAATATATGCCAGAAGTTAAAATCGACGTGTTCTACGGAGGAACATCCATGAAGAGCGATATCGATAAATTTAAACAAAAGGATAAAATTCCGCACATCGTCGTCGGCACTCCTGGGAGAGTGTTGGCGTTAGTGAAAGACGGCTACTTGAAAGTGGGAAGTGTGAAACATTTTGTTCTCGATGAATGTGACAAGATGCTCGACCAGCTTGGTAAGTGGAAGGAAGTATAGAGAGAAGGCAATTTAGCGTGAGATGGAAGTGTAACCATCAGATTGTAGATAGGGTGTTATTTATGATGAAAATCTATGCTTTTGACCCAGCTCGTCTAAGGAATCGGAAATGAAGATTCCTAATGAGAATATTAATAGACCTGAAATATCAAGATACAGGTGGTTGTGAGTGATGCGCGACCAATAATAACAAAGTTGCTCAATCTTTTTCACAGACATGCGGAGGGATGTGCAAGACATTTTCCGAAAGACGCCGCATGGGAAGCAAGTGATGATGTTTAGTGCCACTTTGAGCAAAGACATTCGACCCATTTGCAAGAAGTTTATGCAAAATGTAAGTATTATGCGTGTACATTAATACAAAAATGGTTTATGGACATCAATGAGATTAATGATTGATACAATTTGCTGATATTTATTGTTCTCTGCATTCCTTACTTTTTTTTTTCGTTTGATAGCCTCTGGAGATATATGTCGATGATGAAGCCAAACTAACACTTCATGGTTTGAAACAGTATTACACAAAACTGCAAGAGAGCATGAAAAATCGAAAGCTTAATGACATACTTGATGAAGTCGAATTCAATCAAGTATGTATTTTCGTGAAATCCGTACAGCGAGCGACCGAGCTGAACAAGCTACTTTGCGAATGTAACTTCCCAAGCATTTGTATCCATGGGCAAATGAAGCAGGAGGATCGGTGAGTGAATTGGTTTAATAGCAATGTTTTGATCACTATACATTATCTACACATTGTTGTTTATTGTTGATAAGCAACATTAAGGAGAAGATGGAGCTCGGGTTTCTAAATCGGCTTTAACTCCTTCCATGTCTGTTTAAGCTGAATCCAAATCTTAGTTTGTATTAACACTTGTTATGTTATATTTATTAACCTTTATTCTAATCATTTTCCAGAATTGCGAAGTACAAATCATTTAAAGACTTCCACAAGCGAATCATGGTTGCGACAGATGTCTTTGGACG